TCCATTTAAAAGTCCTCCAATAAATCCCTCGCACAATTACGGGCCGTGCATAACGCGAATTACCGAAATATCCCAAATATGAGGAATATGTATTTTTATTTCCACTCTTTTCCAATAAACTCAATATTATTTTTAAATGAAACAAAAATATCACGCGGGAAAATCGATATATCATAATATAAATTAAAGTAAAAAAAACATTCGCGATATCACAACCAACCACTTTGTTCAATTTATCTCGATGCCGGAGATAGCGAGGGATTAAACTTCGAAGGATGCATCAGGCCACGTCAGACCTGCCGGCTGCAAAGTTTCTTCAGCTTGTTTCGTATTTTCTCCGTGAAAATTATACAATTTCTGATGCGCGTCGATGTCGGTACCGACAGTGCTTCGCCGTGAACTGCCAAAAAGTCGGCGCAACGAGGGTCGACAGCCAGCATAAACGCAGTCCGAACACCGTTCGAGACGAGGAATAAACGGCGGCAGCAAGAGACGAGTCCGGCTACGATGCATTATTTAAATTTTAAAAGCCCCTCAAAGTGTCGGCTTAATTCGCCGGTCCTTTACCCTATCTCCAGCTGCACGGCCGAAAACGCGGGAAGCCGGCGAGCGAGATAGCGCACACGTTGACAGGATGCACATAGATGTGCATAATGCACTTGTTATCGTATGGCTCGGTGAAAAATTTGTGTGATGTCGATACGCCAAGAAGCTTATTTTTCAACTTAATTATGATTATTGAAGGTATCATTTTCACGAGAAAAATGAATAATAAAATAATCGTTTAAGATAACATTTGACAGAGAAAATGTAAGTAATTTTATTAAATAAACGTGCAGAATATATGACTTTCTAAATTTTGTTATAACACATTCACGATCTCTTTACTTAATTTTACAGCATTTGAAAACCAAATTAAATTTTAAAATGCACTTTGTCATTTTATTATTTTTTTTATGTGAGATATATGTAAAGCAAACGCCGCTGATGAAATTCTTAACCACAGTTTGGGCTGACAAAATCTTCCATTATTCAAATAGATCAAATTACAGTTTCAAGATTTCCATTTCCGGAAAAAAATAATAATAAAATTTCTTTAAAGATAATTCTGTAGTTTATACATTTTTCGGGGATAACAAATGACACGATGAAAAAGAACTTTCGAATTCTGCGCATTATCGCCGCTAAAATCACGTTCAATGAGACAGGCAAAATGCAAAAACGATATGCATATCGCATTTCGCGACCGACAAACACGTTCGCGAATGCGAAATCTGCATTCGTCACCGAATCGATCTCATCTTTCCATATAATTGCCAATATAACCAGCGGTGAGGAGGAGGCGCGCGACTGTGTACGTCGGCGTATGTGTCGCGCGAATAATCGAGTATACACGTGCAGCCCGCCCACTCAGACACAGGCGCGCGAGTGCAGGAGAATCGCGGATACATACGCGGATATGTACATGGAAAGCTGGAAGCAGGTTGACAGATTGACGTTCGGTCGCGCCTCGTTCAGCCCAGCGCCCGATGAATATTTCAGGTGCCCGGCTTCACCTGTCAGCCCGCGGGATGCCACGCGGCGAGGGAGAAAGAGCGAAAGAGAAAGAGCAGCCGGTGGCATCAGCAGCAGCAGCAGCAGCAGCAGCAGCGGTAGCAGCCTGGCTGCTTCTATGTATAGGGGAGCCGTGCCCTGGCGAACTTTCGACCCGAAATGACCCGAGAGAGGCGAAGAAGATGCAGACTACGTCGCCATGGATTTCTACCTTTTCTATCTCTTTCCTGCCCTCTCTTTCGCCGTCGTTTTCCAGCGGCGATGATGAGTCTAATTTCAGAGTACCGATCGATTGTCTATGAATACCAGAGGATTACATATTTATTTGCACGTGTCCCAATTCGCTCGCCCACCGCCTGCTCGAGGGACGCTGGGGATATAAAAGACGAAGTCGCGACGAACAGATGCACCAATCGCTTGTCGTCATTCCCGTTAAAATTTTCGTGATATTTGCATCATCGTGATATTTGCGACAGTTAAAACTTCATTGCCTAGTGCCTAGTCGGCACGGTTTATAATTGTATAATCCACTCTACATTTTAGTTTCTACGCTGAGATAAAATTAAGTACTCGATATCAAAATCAATACACCGCAATGAATTTGCAATGAATTTCGTATTGAAATTCATGATGTTTTAAAATGGATTACCGCTGTTAAGAATGCAGTAAATTATTCAAAATGCATCAACTATTTATTATCATTCTTCTTAAAATTTTAGCAATTTTATATATTGCATAATCAATATGTGATGTGCAATCATATATATGCAATAATCCGTTCTAGAGCCTTAATATTTTTCAGTTAAAAGAAAAAATTACTATTAGAATAAAACAAGCAAATATCTCGCTGCTCGATATCGAAAATTTTACAAAAATCAATATGCTATATCAGTATGCACTCAATTTTTCATTGAAGTATTCATTTCATATTAGTTCAAAGTGGTCTTTTAGCTTCCTTAAAATAACAAGGTTTTATATATTATAAATTGAAATGCAATCGTTTGTACTCTTTAAAATTTAGCAGAATTCGTTCTGTAACAATTAGTACAATTAATTTTATGTAGTAACGTAATCAGCATTATGTGTGCAATATATAATTTAATTTATACTTTTGACATTTCCAAGCTAGAAAGAAATGATTCTTGAAATAGAATAAACAGGATCAGATCAGATTACTCGATATCGAAAATCTGACCGAAGTCGCAATACACCTTATCAGTTATCGATTTTTCCACTGAAATTCATAATGTTAGAAGTAGACTTCCAGCACTTTTAAAATAAGGGCTTCATATTATATTCAAGATGCCCTACTGTCTCTGAATATTAATTTTCCATCGATCGATCCGACGTCGTTCTATTATTAAAATCTGCCGGAGATTTGCACGTGGAGCCGTCTTAAGTGGTTCGCCGATTATTCTTACTCTTAACTGCATAACCGTATTAGATATAATTATCCGAAGATGATATACGTCGGGCTAATGCAAATTCGCATACAAGATAAATGACGCTCCGCGGACGGCTTGTACAGCTAATGTGAGATGATTCTACGTTGAATCCGTTATGTTCACATTACGGTCGCATATCTTGACTACATTAAATTAGCGCGCGATAACTTTGGGGATTTAATGTGATTGTAATATTATCTCGAAAGCATAATAAAACTTCTATGTTCCGCGCGCTACCTCGTGATATAAATCGTGTATTTACAGTTCGAAGTATATGAAACCACGGAAAATACACGTAAGAAAGGAAAATGGAGAAACCAAGAATTGGCAAGCTGATTTATCGTCGCTGCACAATGTTTCGCGGGTATCTCGCTTCTCGCGGTCTGTCTGTGTGTTTGACATTCGGTGCCTTACGATGACCGGCTGAAATATGAGCCTTCACGTCGCGAACGTCCAGCCGGTCCGGTCCGCCACGGCGAAGTAGAGGAACTGGATTTCCGTCATAGACGTGTGCACGGCACAAAGTTGAAATTGGCACTCACGATGGACGCCCATTGCGCTTTCGCTGAATATTCATGCGCCACGGTAAAGGGTTATTGAACCGCTCAAGTCCGAGCCTTGAATGAGCCGCGCTACATAAAGATCGCGAACAATCGCCGATTGAAAAAAAAAAATATTCGCGATTCGCTCCAGATATAATTATCCGACTCGGAGTAATAAAAGCGTTTCACGTGGAGGACGAACGTGTCGCTGGCATTTTACAATAAATTATTTTGCGCGAACAGTATTATGTCGCATTGATTTACGAGAAATCATTAAAATTATTAAAAAGTGACTAAAATTGCAAAAACAACGATATAAATAATATAAATTTAGCTTTTAATTTTAAATATTCTCGCTGTTTGTCAAATGAATGAATTATCGATATGGAATATAGAGACGGAATAAAAATAACATCTCAGAAAATAAATTAAAAATGTAAAGAAAATTAAATACAAATTAAAGGAGATAAATTAAGCATTGATTTAAATAGTTCAACATTCTTTTTGCAATGTAACAAACTCAACTTGCATCATAAAGAAAAGTAAAAAATATTTACGGAGTGTCATCATATATTTCAGTCCCAAACAAGCGTCATCAAGTTAATTCTTAATTAATATTGCGAAATTACTGCTTTGCGGGCTAACAATAGCACGCTTAATTTGTGCTTTTAGTGATACACGACATCTCTATTGGTATCGTAAAATAGCATTGATTTCACATCGTCTGTCGTCGCAGAAACGGAATGTGCACCGCTCGCGAGCGTTGGCGTAATTTTCGTTAATTAATGAAATAGATTAAAACACGGGAAAGCGCTCTCGGCGCTGCCGGACGCGGTCGTGTTAGTTGACAGCGCGAAAAGATATAACGTCGTCTGCATATCCGATGCAGATCCATTTATAACGTCTGCCGCATCGCGCGAGTTTATGCAACTTACATACTAAAAATACTTAAATAATATCAGGCTGTTAAAAACCCTGTCTATCTTTAATTAACGACTGCTAATGATCAGTCATTGTTTGTTCATTCCATTCATCGGCAAGGCATTATGTTGTTTATCTTAGCACGTTATATAATGTATTTCTATGCGTTTTGATACTAATTTTATATATTTCGTTTTTTGCGTGTTCACAAAAAAAAAAATGAAAGAAAATCTCAACAAATTTATTAATTTTTTAAATTTATCTTAAAATTTGTAATATAATTTTTCTTGTTTAATTATAATTCTGCATTAATAATGAGTCATTTCTATAATTCGGTTAATAATTCATCGGTGTTTCTTTTTGTTGTCACTCAATAATTCAGCAAAAATGATTAAAGTATGTATTATCATTATTATTATTATTGAAAATTATAAACTCAATTATGAAAAAATGTGTTTTTGCTCAAATGTTTGAAAATATTGCAATTGATTATTGAAGAAACAGTTTCCTATTCAAGGGTATTCATACGATGATTACACAAACGCGTCAGGTGTGTATGTAGCGGCAAAGTAGACGTTAAGTATTCCTTGAGGACCAAACTGTAGAGTTAGAGCTCACCATGGATAACAGTGAATCTTTAGAGAAACTCTATGCAGAGTCTTTGAAAAACGACAATACTTTTATGATTGAGACTACTGTGGTTACAGGTATGCGATTGCTTGTAAATTTATTTGCGAACTGTCGAGAAATCCACGTGTCCTTAAACATAACCTACAATAAATAATCTTTAATACAGGTTTTGAATGGGAAGCCTACGATGAGTGTAAGGAAAAATTTGGCAAAGATATGCAGGCGATCAAACGACGCGGAAGACTTTACTTTAACATAGATTGGGACCAATTCGCAAAAGTACTTTTTTAGATGTTTCATAATTTTTTAACATTTGGCAAGGATAATAATGCATTGCGTTATCCTTTATCGTAAACGTTGCAGGTTCAGGAAATGAGATCAATAGATAACATATTCATAATAGGTGACATGATAACTTTTGACACATTTGAAAATAACAAAGAAGCAGACTTGCAAAAAATTAAAGACCATGTACACAAAAGTGTGCATTTAGAGAAAGCTATGAATGCATGGAAAAGTGCAACAAATTTCTTGGGAAAGATTTATCCGACAATTGAAGAACATGCTGCAGAAAAAGAGAAAGCTTTAGCAACTAAAGTGGAGGAATTAAAGATGAGTAAAGAAAAAGATCCGCTTGATTGGGATTGCAGCGAATTAGAGACACCTAAAGGAAAGAAAAGGGGACAAGATCCTTCTGAATCCAAGGAAGATGATGTACTAAGATACAGAGTAACATGTGAGAGAAGTGGCAAACATGCTTTTGAGTCTAAGGATGTTGCTATGGTTATTGGAGGAGAATTGCAAGACAAATATCACTGGATGGTTGATCTTTCTATGTACCATCTAGAAGTTGTCTGCAAATTAACAGATGGTATGCAAAATAAAAATAAAATAGAATTTTTAAAGATTTAATCATTAAAAATTCTATTATACGAACAAAAAATTTATTATAAAGATTTTTTGGAATAATATTTAAGAAATAATTAATCACGTATTAATAAAATAAGCTGAATATTATAATTTATAAATTCTAAATTTTTTAGGTGAATTGTTAATGCATTTACGCGTGACACACGAATCCAAGCACTGCAGAAACATTGTTAACTTTGGGCCTACCACTCTCAGATCAACTATATGTTACAGCATGCTAAGACTGGCAAATCCTAAGTTAGGAGATATAGTAGTAGATCCCATGTGCGGAAGTGGCTCTATTCCTATAGAGGTATTGTAATATTTATAACAGAGATGTGACAGAGATCGATAATTCATGGATATTCATTCACATATTAAATTTCAGGCAGCATTAGCTTTCTCACACTGCTATGTCCTGTGTGGCGACAATCATCCTAAAGCTGTGGAAAAAACAAAATCTAACATGGATGTCTCGACAACTGGATGTAAAATTGATCTCGTACAGTGGACTGCTGCAACATTGCCATTCAAGAATTCCTTTATTGATATTATCGTTACTGATATGGTATAGAAATTAATTTCTAAAAATTATTTTCCTTGTATAGCTTTTCAAAGTTCTTTTTTTTTTAAGAAAAATAAACGTTTATTAATTTGCAGCCTTTTGGTAAAAGAAGTGGAAATAAAACATATAACAAAATTCTCTACAAGAAATTTCTGATGGAACTTGGACGAGTCGTAAAAATAACATCTGGACAATTGGTTTTGCTTACCTATGATAGAACCAGCTTTAAAGAAGTAAGTTTTTGTTATAATTATATACAAGAATTTTTGATAAAGTAATATATTAATTAAACAACAAAATATTTTGTTGTAATAAAAGAATAAAATATTTTAGAATTAAATTAAATAATATTAAATTTAATATATATTAATTAAATTTTACTATAAAATTTGCTGACATTTTTCTCTATTCATTTCAGGCTCTACAGATAGTAGGTAAATTATTCTGGGTGTCTAAAACGGTTGGTGTAAACGTAGGAGGTCTTCACGCTGTAGTTTATGTTATGAATCGTACAAACTTGCTCTATGAACGTTTCAAACCATCAACCGCCAAACAGTATAATTTTCCGAAAAAAGAGAAAAACTCATCGACTAAGTTAGGAGCTTCAAATAAGACTTAAACTATTCTGTAGTTCATAACTGTAGTTTTTACCTAGTCTATAAGTTTCAAGTGTGTGATATGCATTCATATTTTTATATGAAAAAGTTAATAGAATTTATTTGGCATATAATTATGATTTATTTTTTTCAAAACAATTTTCTGCTAAATAATTCCAATATATAAAATTCACAAAAAGAACTTTCTTCTGCTTGTCTCCATCTTATGTCTGCGTCCCTGTATGATCCACTCATATTCGCCATATTTGCTGTCGAATGTTCCACGCTGCAGTGATCTTAATCTCAGAGTGAATCGTGGACCCAATTCTCGTAATTTTGGTTTTCCCGTTTTTGTATTAAATTCATACCTGCAGATTAATACAAATTTTTAGATTATAAATACAAATTTTAGATTATAAAATATAGTTTACATTTTAATGAATTACCTATGATGTCTGAAAAATATGTAATCTCTCTGATTGTGAAATGTCACAGCTCTCCTCCCTTTTAAACTCTGGTTGATAATGAAACAAGGCTCCTAGCATTCTGCCGATAGTAAATCCCAAACGTGTGGTAAAATTATTTAGAATAACTTCTGGTCTATGTTCAGTGATTTCTTTATGATTGCGCTTCAATTCTGTTGTTATTTTAACATTGTTGAGCTTGAAATGTGCTGTGGGGCCTTCTGGCAAATGAATGATCAACATTCCGTCTAAGAATTATATAAGGAAAATACTTTGAAGATTAAACAACTTAAATTTAATCAACATTGTATAATAAAAGTATGTTAAATGTACATATAACATATGACTTATTTGTGAATCTCACTAACAGAAAAATTTTGAGTCTCTAGTAATTTCCTACCAGCTAAAAAATCTATTACATATAATACATGAATATCAGTTTACATCTGCGAAGAAAATCATGCATCAAACTGTTAGCATAATATAAGTTTATAAGGATACTTGGCTTGCATTGATCTTCATTAACAATTATTATGTCTGTAAAATCTTTAGCAATAGCACTTTTGACCATTTTCTTAACACCAGAACGATTTCTATAAAGTGAAATAGAGTTGGGTATTATCCGCGTAAGCTCCCTGCCAAAAATTCTGGTTTTTCTGTTTGGATTGTCAGCATATGTAATGAGGACTTTAGGTTCATATTCCTGTTTGTAATAAGCAGCAAACTCGTCGTGTTCACATTCAACTTTGAGCTCCTCGTTGTGCTCGTCCTCAAGATTGCCTACTATCATAGTCTCATCCTTCTCTCGCAGGCTCTCTATAGTGTGTGGCACCTGTTTCGGACCATCCTCTTGTATCCTCGTCTTTTTCGCTGCTTTCTTCGCCTTTGCTTTCTCTTTCATTAATTGCTGACATTTCTGATACCTCAAAGCTTTGCATTTGATATGATTAAAGTTACTATCAGAAGGCAGCAAAACTTCTGGAGGTTTGCTCGAAGTACTCGGTTGATTTTCGTCATCTTCTTCTCTAATACGACTGAAAGGATTCTTTCGCAAAGTTTTAATCTTCATCGTGCTGTATATTTTACTAAAATTATAAATTATAAAAGATTATATCCGCACTTTTAACCTATCGACTCTTTCGAAGATGCACGTGTTTACGTTGTACTGCGTTTACGAACGTCGTCTGAATGCAGTGATGCCACCATTGTTGCAGGGAAATTGGCAGTTGGCACAAAAATTGGATTGGCGTTCTTCTCGCCTAGTTTCATAAACTAGAATGCTGGTCCGTTCGTTTTAGCTATACTCTTACAATTCAGAATAAAATTTTACATTTAGACGCTTTAAATAAAATAAAGAAAATAAGAATAAAAGATATAAAGTACACATAACTTGTCATTTATGGAACACATTGTTGTAAATATACAAAATATTTATTTGCAGACTCGGCTATTCTTATTTTTATAAGAATAACAACTTGGTTGTATAAAAATAATTTATTTTCAACGTATTGTCTCTACTGAGATATAGAGTAATTAGTATATTTTCCCATTATTATGACATAATGCATCAATTGATAGAATAAGAATTTTTATATAAAGAAATCATATCAAAGATTTTTCAACTAGTTAGAGAATTTGCTTAAAATATCCGTTTTTTACCTTAGTTACATTTTATATACATTTATCTTAATTATAAACTTTATATACAATCATTTAAATTTCAAAACTATCCACAACACAAAAAATACTGCTATAGAAAAAAGAAATAAATATAAGATATAGTAATTGTGACCTGCTTTTGCTAGGCGCAAAACACGTCCTACAGAGCCAGATAAGGAACCACTTGTCCTTTCAAAATCATCATCCTGAAATAAATTCATATTAATTTTTCACATATAACCAATATTCGAAATTGTGTAAATATGAAAAACTGATCAACTAACCATTGATCTCAAGAATTTATCTTGATATTTGACTTCAGTGCCAATGTCAATAGATAATGATTTTAAGGCATGAATCTTGTCCTTTAGTTCTTCAGTCATCCTTTCATTCTCGTCTTCTATAGGACTTTGTGTAGATGTACTTGGTAATGGCTCGTAGCCATAGCCTCCTAAAATGAAAATTATGTAGAAAAAAAATTGTGATCACTGCATTTATGCAAGCAGATGTAATCTTACCCGAATGAGAACGCCGCATTTTGTTAGCAATCTTGATGGCTTAATAAGTAAACAAGTCTAGGAGAAAATTATTGTTCCACCAAATACCTTGAGAAGTGCAGAATTGTTTCAATATTCTGCATATCTGAAAATACATACCATATGATCATTATTTAATTGTTTTATGAGATATTTCTAATCATTTATAAGAATGTAAACTTACATAATTAAAACGGAAATAGTATATTATAATGATTATTATTTCAATAAAAATACGTGTTGTCCATGCAAAACAATTATATCAAATGACGGTGACACTTGATCACTGAAGAATCTTTATTCTTGTAAAACATAACCTCAAGTAACACGATTTATCCACAATCTTTGTCCACGATTTTATCCATAATATACGATTTCTTATTTACCACTTACATAAAAAAATGCAATATGCCAGGGAATAGATAATAAAATAACAGTCGATATACGTGTCAACGTCAACGATTGCAATGACGTGTAATCCGAGGTATACGTCAGAAAGCTGTTTTTGCTCTCCAGTTAACCCAAATGTGTAGAAAGAATAGTAGTACCGGTTATCGCAATTCAGAAACTCAATTTTTAGAAGTAAATTTGCAATTTATTTTTGAGTGATTTTTAACTTTTTAAGTTGTAATAATCTTCCAAAACTTTAAGAAAACCGTGTGAATTATTTCAGAATTTTTTTTGTAGCTTAACATTGTCAAAATCAGTATATGAGAAATATTGCAAGTTTATTATAGACTGGAAATGGAACTTTTGAAATTAACAGAGAAAACAAAAGGCATTTAGAATAATTTTTTTAGTTTATTTCCTATATTATATGTTAAATATAAAGGCACAAACAATAAGAAGTATCACTACTTTCTAGATTCCTACGGTATCAGTGTGTTTCGTACAGTTTTCTATGTTGATATACAGATAGTCATCTCATATCAACAATTGTTATAGAATTATTCTCGGAGACGGAGAAACACACACTTACGATAACGTTAACTTAGATCTCTCTTTCTTCTTTGAATTCGCTCTCGAACTTAAATAATTTAATTACAGTTATCTATTCACAACCCTATAAGAAAAAACGCTCAATTTATTTGTTCTTCTCTCATGTAAACCGAGAACGCAATTTCCAATATCGCGTTGACGATTCATTTGGGACTCCGATTAAATAAACGTACATTAACATCTCGATATCATTGTATATAAAGTTCTCGATATGAAAATTACTAACAAGTTCAGAAACATAATTTCCTTTATAAATTCTTCGACGCTCTTGCGTGTGTTTCACAACTATATAATATATATATATACCATTTTCTATGTATATAATTTTTCGCTATCTAACACTTGTATCTCGATGTAGAACAATAAGTACGTTTGATGTCGCTCGCGTATGAAAACGCTGTGAATCGTAGATTCTCACACAGGTATAACACATGTATCACTACATAATGTTTATCTACACACACTGGTGTACGATTACGCTATTGACGATTTGATCCCAAGGAGTAATTCAAGATTAGGCCTGAAGTTTGTGTACTACGGTGTATAAATTATAAATTTCGTAAAAAATTTGGATTATTCGATTGTTTATTTTGGAATGTTTAATGCCACAGAGTTAAAAAAAAAAAATAGAAACAAAAATCGACCGATGTTTCGCTGTGGACTGTCTTGTCATGTTAAACATTCTCTTCTCTCTACACTCCTCGCACTCTGCCTACGATAAAAACCGCGTTGCTCCAAAAATGTGCTGTACAATCAGTGTTGTATAAAAATTTACAAAGGAAAGATTCGTCAATTCCGACAGCACCTACGACGGGACTGTTACTAAAGATTACAGCTACGAACTAAATTACACGATTTTTTTCTACCGTTATCCTGAATAGGTATGTACAATGTTGAGCATCATCCGTGACTTCCTAAATTATACAGTAACCTCGTCGAGACGAATCGATGGTTAGGCAAGAAGACTTCAACGTATCGCTGTATGCATTCAATGGTCATGTAGATATGAGAATATAACCATAATTTATAAAATATAAAAAAATCATATACAGAAAATTATATTGAAATGCAAGATTCCGGTTACACTACAGCTGTCTGTCGTTATATTCGAAATGAAAAGAAAACTTGCGATGGATGAAACTAAGAAGACGACTGTTTGTGAATTATTTGGCGGAATATTTCGATGTGTTTAAAGAAACGTTGGATGAGTGAAGACGTCGCGACGGTGCTGGACTAACTGGGGCCGACGGGGACGGTCCAGTGGGCGTCGTCGGTTTGGAACCTCTCCTGCTTCGTCTCAGAGTTGAGTACGGACTGGTGCCACGATTGACGTGCTCGTGAGCGTAGAGCAGCACGCCGATGTCCCGATTACCCGCTTCCAGAGCGATCTTCAGAGCCGAGCTGCCGTCTACGTCGACGATAGACGGATCGCAATCCGGATGAGCGAGGAGCAGCCTCACAATATCGGTGTGGCCGTGTTCCGCAGCGCACATCAGAGCAGTGCTGCCGTCCTCGTCCTGGATATTAACTGCTGCACCAGCATCCAAAAGCAGCTGCGTCATATCTTTGCGCCCGTGCGACACCGCCAACATCAGCGCGGTTTGTCCGTGCTGTACAAAGGAGAATAAAAATTAATGGTAAAACTGTTTGAGAATACATATGATACAATATTCACACAAATTGATATTATAAAATCAGAAAAATATTGTAACAGACATTTTCTATACTTCGAATTAATGAAGATTTTTCTTAAATTCTGATATATTGTATTTTACGCATTACAAAGTAAAATAATTTACCAATTTCGCTCGTATGTTGACATCAGCAAGCTGGAACAATCTATTCGCTACCGAGGCGTGCGTGGAATTCCTGACTTCTGCTAGAGCAGCTAACATCACAGCCGTGTAACCAGCCACATTCGCCTTGTTGATGTCGCAGACTTTCGAGTCCAGCAATATGGATACCACATCGAAATTGCCGTGAGAGACCGCGTAGTGCATCGCTGTATTCCCACTGGTGTCCGTCATGTTGACGATGTACTCCAGCAGAGTGCTGGAGCATACTTCAAAGCAGTCCAAATAATCCTCGACGTCTAATGGATTTGCACTAGATGTACTGGATATTTTAAACCATTCTTGCTGTATGATGTTGGTAGCATTCTTCATCTGATGGGAAATATTTCTACTGGGTGATTTTTTGATACTGTCGTTGAGCACCTTCATGGCGGCCTGCATCTCTTTCGAAGGCTCAACTTTCTTCCTGGGCTTATCTTGGATCGGTTGAAACAGAGCTGATTCTGGTAGCTCGGATTTCTCCTCGTTATCCGCTTCCTTCTCCACATTACGCAGCATCTCTTCTGACGCAGTCTTCTCATCCTTGCTTTTCTCGGACTGCAATTGCTGAATGCTAGAGGTAACAGAAAAAGCAACTTTTACATTTTTATTTTACAAGCAAGTATATCACTATTTTTATAGATATTAAATAAGGAAGTCTGAAAGTCTGAAAAATAAAAACTATTTAGGAAGATTAATTTTACAATATTTTAGAATATTAATATAAGATAAAAAATATATTTTTTGGAATAAATAATGGTTCGTTTGATCACAGCACAGAAAAAACACGGAGATATCAAAAATTCAATATGGTACCGAGGGGAATTAAATGGCAAGATCATTTAGCACCATAAATAGACGAAAGGGATTAGATGGCGAGGAGATATTACCCTTCCGCGACCGGACAAGGCGAGATATCGTCGGCTTGGGGATCGCTGAATAAATGAGGAGCGGTGCGCTGCGGCTGCTGTTGCAGCATCGATCTGTCGAGATCGAGGACACGCTCACTCGTTCACCATAGCAAGACCACCAATACGATACGCGACGCGCACCGACATCCGACTTCCGTCGCGGTATTTACGCGATGATAGTCGCGCCGGGGAGAGCCTCGATGACGCACAAGGCACGCGCGCAACCATGGACAACTTAAAAAGGACAACAAACAGACTGCCCGCTGGCGCGCTCAGCCGGCACAAAACACGTACGTCATACGCGGCTGTACAACTCACGAACGTTCTTTCTACCACCCCCTTTTATCGGGTAATATCCCCTACGGCGACCTTCGACCGCGGGAATAACAGATGGCGTAGGGTGTAGTCAAGCGGGAAGGGTGAATCAGTCTCGAAAGGGTAAAATATTTTATCCGCTTGTAATTTTAGAAAACTATGTAGATATAAAAATAATTTAGAAATACGTGATAAATTGGAATTAAAAATTAATCGTTAAAGACAAACGCAACAAAAATTATATTAGATACATAAAAATTTCTCCAAAGAATAATTAACATTCTATTAATATTTTATAGAATATAAATTAATTTAATTTTTATTGTTTAAATTACTATTGTTGGAGAATAATTTAAATTTGACGACAGAGAAATTTTCTACGACAAAAAAAATTTAAATATTAAATTTCTAATTTTTTAAATTCTAAATCTTTTAATTTACTGCAAATGTAAAAAGTAAGCGAGGATGTAATGCTAGATCACTAACCGATTGCTGCTGTCGTATTGCTCCTTATTATCCGTGTCGTATCTTATCACACCAGCCGCCGGTATTTTCGTGTACGTGTCTTGACGCTTGAATTGCCTTCTCTGATCGCTGGTATTCAAGGGAATATGAGACGGCCTCGGGATCCTGGACGCCATATTGCTATTCTGATGATTCAGACTGTTCTCCGCGTTGTTCGCGATCTGCTTCGCCAGACTCTTGATCGTCTCCTTGCAGTTGTCGCAGTAATTCGCCGCGCAGGAGATCGAGATGTGCGGCCTCACGGAATCGCCGACTGACACATCGACGAACTTCTTCTTCATCGTCGACGTACCGAATTCCCGAGATTTGGGCATAAGACCGGAAGTGTCGGTGGCGCGAGCGCTGGTCCTCACCAGGTCGTCCACCATCACACCCACCGATCTGTTCAATCTGTTCGCTCTACTCTTCGTTCTCGTGTCGCCGTAGTTGAACGAGTGACTCCTCGAGTTCATCGAGTTCAACGACACCGGCGGCTGCACCGCCACCGGATCCGGTCCGACGGACACGCTTCTCGTGCAAGAACCGAATCTGACTTCGACCCCGACATCCGTCGTACTCGGCTTGGCCATCACGCTCACGTTCGAGCGCATTTTGAACTGTTCCGTCACCTGGACTGCCTGATCCCGTTTCTCGACGATTCTGGCAGGTTCCGGGATGCACTGGGTGCTTTTGGAGGAAGTCGCCTTCATTAAACTATTCTTGTAAGCTTTCAAGGCATTTTCTATAAGCACCGAAACATCCTCATTCGACATGATGTCCTTGACACCTAGGATTGTCGTTGTACCGCAGGAACGCTTCCTGATCTCTTTCTTCGCTACCGGCGCGATGTCCTCGATCAGGAAATAACTACACTGCAGACTCCTGGGGGATTTGTTCTCCGTATTGGTGCCGAAGTCGCGCAGCTTCTTCGCGATCTTGCGCTTATTTGTGTCGTTTTCACTGGATGATATCGAGTCCAGTCGAGGCGAGGCTTTCATCAAATGGCTTTTCCTCACTTCCGGCAGGATCTCCTCCAGCATCAGTTGACTGCGAGTCAGGCTCGACTTCCAGCTACGATGGGGATCGCAGAGTCCCGAGAGATTCACATGCGTCTCTTTTAGCACAGTACTTTGGTCCATCTCGGGCGCGATCTCCTCGATTTGAAGTCGGCTCTTCTGCAGCGTCGGTTTGATCGGCGTGCTCGTTATCATGCCGACATCTCTTGTTCGAATCTGCTCGCAAGATAAATTCATTACAATTAACATTTCGCATACAACACAATTTCGTCGTTAAATCGATACAGAAAGTTCCAATATATTTTACAAATTTGTGTACATATAATATAAATAATAGTTCGTTAATCGCCTTGTCAAATATTACGAACCATTGCATACCGAGCAAATTATATTGCCGATGATATATCTCGGGAGTTTGAAAAAGAAACGCAACATAGTGCCCAGCAACGTAAACATATCGTAGTTATCTTAACAATTTCAAATTTCTATAAATATTTACGAAATATACACTCGCACGCGCGAAAGTGAGCGATGACACGAAAACTATACAAACACACGATTAAAAATTGCGTATCGCCATTTAAATCCCGATCTTCATTTCTAATTGGAGAAGTGAGCGGACTGCTCACTTCTGAACGTACGCAAACAGACAGACAATTCACGGAGAGATGTTCTACCTAATGTTATAAAAACACATACTCGAAATACCCAAACAAAAACGAAGTCCAAAGGACATCTAAGAAGTGTTTAAGAGCCAGTTTTACCAACATTAATAAACTTAATCATAGTTTAATTAATTCTTTCTCGCTATTCAAAATTTAACTAATTTAATTTTTTTAATTAAATTAGACATATTAATTTTTTAAAAGGGCGTTCAAAATATTAGTGGGCCTTTTTAGATAATTTTTAAATGTTTTTATTGTCTATATAGATTTAGTTGCATTTGAATGGATTCATAGTTTATGCAATAAAATATCAATTTTATTTCTAAAATAAATTTTTAAATATTATTCTTTTTTATGTTAATTTTATTAAAATTATTGCAATGTTAATGGTTAGCAGAAATGGATTCGTACCTGCTGATGTGAAACCCCGACGTCTCTTGTCATCACGCCGCACATTGTTCCCATGTCCCTTGTGGAAACGGTTTCAGAATTCTTCAGATTTCGGGTGGCATTGCGTTGTTCCGAGAATGACTGGCTGCGATACCTATGCAGGGTGTCGTTGTAGAAATTCGTTTTGCTTAGCTCGTCTACTTGCCGCAGTAGATTGCGCTTCTCCTCTTTCAACACCGAGACTTGCACCTGTGAGAGAAAAGGAAAAAGATTGCACGCATGAAGCTAGATAAGCCGACAATAGTGCAAGCTTTTATCTAAACTGATAAAGCTGCCAGCGTGAGAAATTATCATGACTTTCAGCGTTATAAAAAACATTACATTATATTTCCACAAATTGCGGAAATAGAAATTGTGATATTTTATGCAATATTATCTCTTTAAGAGATAAAATAAAATATAAAATATTTTACACATGCATATTTCATTAAAAAAATAAAATAATCAACGCTGCTTGTTAAAAATTAATGCATTCCGATAAAGTGATTCTTATACATTCAAGACATAAATTTTCTTAAATAAGTAGGTTTCGCACGGCGATATTGTTATCATTTCTTTATCTCCTCGTCATCAACATAGTATGCGCAAAGTTTCACTGGATGGAAAGCCTCGCTTCGAGGTGCGTTGATTTTTTTTTTTTAATGAACACAGAGTACTAATCTTCTCTAAATGTTTTCACTATGTTTTATGTCAGGCTAATTTCATACTAGAATGATTACAGCAATTACGGTGTGCAAATAGAAATACAAGTTCACGAATCATTGCATTTCAAGTACGCACAAAGATTGCTTCATTGTTTCGCGTCATTAATGCGCTAAATATGCAACGAGATCTCTTCATAATGACAATGAGATCGCGATAGAGCAACGGGAATATTTTGTGCGCACGTTCCGACAGAACGGAAGAGCTCGTCTGAGTGCAAATTACATGAAACGTTGCGAAAGTGCAGGAGGGAGGATGTAAAATTAGTGGGAACTCACCTGCAGCATGGGAATCGCCTTGACCTGTTCCTCCAACTCTTTCATCCTCTCCAGAGAGGCTGCCATCTGTTCTCTGATATTCTGCAATGCAAATAGATAGCTTATCACCACTCCACATTCTCACAATTTTCCGCAAATCGCACTAATTCGTCCACCTTACAAAATTATAATTAAAATGTAAATTTCGTACCTGCAGTGCGCCGGCACTGAGATTTGAGTTGCCGCTTCCGACGCTGACGCTGTCGGAATCCGCCGGCTGATCCGCCTGGACCGCATTTTGCACCGGTGCCGTCCCATTTGTGCCATCTAACACAAGAAGAAAACAGTCGTGGAAAAACACATGCTCAATTAACGAAATTCGCCAAATATTTTGCAAAAAAAGAGTGTCTCATTATTCGCTGAGAAAACGCAGCTGCGCAAAGCATCGAAGTATCCGCTTTAATCGATCTCCCCTTTTAATCGACTTTGCCCTGCGGCTTCGTTAACCCTTTAACTAGGGGATTTAAACCGATTCCTCCCGAGGCAGAAATTTTAAGCAAAATATACTCACGCGAAAATAAGCTACGATCGATAACATCTATTTTTCTAAAAATAAAATCTTTATGTTAATAATAATGATGATATTTTGTATTCTCTTCTGTCTCCGTAATGCTAGAATATTATCGCACACATTCTTCTCAGAAATGTTTAATTTAGCTGTCAATAACATCCTTAGTTGTCAGCAAGTTCTGATTGTTTTCTTTGCTACGTCATTCTGCGACAATAAGAACGGAAGGACAATTACAGATTTTTTCACATTATTACCGCATGCATTATACAACAGGCAGTTGTTTTCGAAATAGGCTGAATGTACCTGTTTCCCAAATAGATGCTATTTAATCGGCATTTGCACAACTACGTTACACAGCGCGGAATGTTATCGCGGCACAAAGAAATGCGTTGAACGTCGCGGCGAATTCCTTTGACAATGTCGTGATATGCTTCATGGGCTCGGTCGTCGCGATGCGAAATTTTCAGCACGCGATTCGTGACGACCGAGATTTAGATAAACACAATGTTTTGTAATCTTAATTTCAATAACATATTCTCAGGCAAAATTTTTTTAACAAGGTTTCGGAAAGCCGTGGAAAAAAAAACGTTTTTTGCAAACCAATTTTTAAGCCACCGAAATTCTATTTTTCAATCAATTGAAAGTAAACTTCAATTTTAATTTGGAGCTGTTAAAAAAATATTAAATATCGAAAGAAGGAAAATTGCGACAAGCGACTTCTCCATATGGTCGCCGGAGAATAATCGACTTTAAATTGCTCAGAGAAAATTGTCATTAGAATTAAGGTTGCGAGATCGCTGGACACCCTGTATATGCATTGTCATTAATGTTAAAGTGCTCGATTCATGCGCCACGCGTGCTGAACATGTGGATTAAACGGGATAAAAAGGCTAAACGTCTATCTTCAGGACCGTGAAAGTCCCGCAGCTGAAAACGTACATACAGCCGCGTGCCAATCACGAGAATGCGATAAATTCGTCACGAGGAAGAGCGAGAGAAATTAATAAAGCGAGCATCCGTCTGTTGCGTGTCAAGAGTAATGTGCTCGCTTGTCAGACGCCTCTGTCATTCACTGGCGTTTATTTATGAAGGAAATTAAGTTTTTTTTTTTAGATAAAAGCAATCTTTAAGTAATTAAAAATCCTACTATTTTTATCCTGAACTAAAGCAAAGATTTATGAAGAGGATTAATTAATCATAAATAATGGAGAACATATATGAATGTCTGTTGCTGTCATAACTCCCAAACTATTTTGACAAATTAAGTTCCGTCATAACATGACAGCCGCAATGTGCAGATGAGATTTTCCGTTTCCAAACACTGACACTGCGATTCCACATCGTCCCTGGCACTTCCATTTCTCGTCCGTCTCAGACAGATGCACTTGTCGAATACGGAAAAAGGCATCACGCGTTTCTCGCGATCGACATATCGTGGTCAGATGTGAGCGCGTAAAGAAACAGGAGAAAGAGAGAAAGAGAAACTGATCTCGGAGGTCGTTCGATTTCTCACAGCTACCGCGGAGATATCACTCGTTTGCTCGTTGATAATGAATTGTGCTTATTTGGACTTAGATAAAGTATCTGTTAATTACTTGAGTCGCCCCACCAGCGGCTGTAATCGCGAACGATAAACAATAGCGGGTCGCATCGAATTGCATAAAAGAACAAAAAGAAAAAACCGCGCGCGGCAAGGAAAATCATGACGTAATCGTCGATATCGTCGCTTTTTTTTCTTTCACTTGAAATTAACACGAAGACTAGATTGCGAGTGGGATGTCATAAGTGCGAGGACGAATTTCGCAACGAGCGAGATATATTTTTGTCTTCAAGCGAGTGTGCAAAACGACTTCCGAACTCACGATATTTCCGCTTTGTCTTCAACTTGCAGAAGGGAATCCTCTTCATTATGAAATTCTTGACTCCCATTTTCGCTGTTTATGGATCTGTCACTGTTGCAGATTTAACGTACTCGCTTGCGCGACTTCTTCGGGAGGAAATGCACTTGCTAATCTGCTAATTATGTACTATGAACTGAAGTGATGGGTTGTTGTTGCATTTCTAGCCGTACATCGATATCATCGATACTATCGCGGATTTCACTAGTCACAGATTTCACACTGTCGCATACTTCATACTGACGCGAGCTGTTCAGTTCAGTCTTTACGTCAAATCACTGGTTGTACATTTCGCGAGGTAAGTTAATCAAAATTAGCGAAATTAATATATCATTCTTTACTATTGTTTAGTACTTTTAGTGCCTTTAAACGCGCCAGATCTATCATAATCGATCGTTTGATTGTTGTTGGAAAACGAGACTCGTTTTATCACTCGATGCAAGTTGTCGACGCATCGTGCTTTTTAGGTTAATAACCCTTCAGATCTATTTGATTTCTTTCGAGAACAGAATCTTCAATTAAAATTGAGCGCTAATATTTTGTCATCGAAATCGAACTATCGGTCGATGCTGCGTTTATATATCCGTTATTTAATCTCACAACGTCGCAGATCTACTTTGTACTCGATAATTCTTCTGTTCGAAAACAAAACACTTCTATCAGATCTCGCGCGTTACATATCAAAATCAGATTGTCGATCGATACTTTATATGTATGTTTAGTTCATTATCAACGTAACGACATCTTGCAGATCTATTTTACGGTCGATAAATTATCTTTTTAGAAATAGAATACTTCTGTCCAATCACGGCGCCAATATTCGCGTATTAATTTCAGATTACCCCTCGATACGGCGCTTTATTCGCAATAAACTTCAAGTAGATCCTTGTGACGGAATAAGTGGCGCGTCGATGACACTCCGGGATCGAAACGAGTGATTTTTCGCCACACTAGTGAAATGGCTCGATCGTTGCAATTTCGCGTGATTTCGCCGATGACGAAGCCGTGGAAGCGTCGAAGTTGTTCATCATCACCGTCTAACGATCGAGATCGTCCGTCGACACTGTCGAGGCGTCGGAGTCATCACGTCGCGGGACCGTTATACGAGGTTAGTGTATTTTTGCGTATTCCCTATCTTTATATTTCCACGAAGGAGGCGAATTTGGGGCGGCCGTGGAGATGCTCGCCGTTCGGCTCGTTCGGAATCGGCGATAAAATTGGCGGCCCGGGCCGACGAGAGTGATCACACATCGCGCCGCGGTAGGCAAGGCGAATTCGTTCGTTCGTTCGTTTGTTTGTTCGTTTCGGCGGCTCAATATATAACCGCGGTAGCCGCCTGTTGCCGCTCCGCGCCGCACAGCGACAGTTTGCGTTTGACTACTGTGATGCCGTCGAGGCCCAAGCGAGCGCGCCGGCCGTTCGCGTTAAGGTGAACGCAGGAGGGGAGGCGAGCCTCTCTTCTTTCCTTCGCCGGGGTTTTCTTCGCTCGATGCCGCCGGTGCTCCGCCGATTTGCTAATCGCGGGAAAAAAAAGCGTCTTGCGGTATCCGGCCCCCCTGTTCGCTCGCAAAACTGAAAACTTTTGCACGGCTTGTCGCTAGAGAGATGTCTTCATCGAAGAATTCCTTAGAAATAATCTTCAGCGAGATCCTCGATTAATTCAGTTTCTGTTAAATCGATTTGATAAGATAATTAATTGGGTAAAATTGTGCAAGCTCCGAATATCGAAACATTTAATGGCGAAAGTCGGCAAATTACGAAAAAGATTTAACGATTAAAAATGAAATCAGCTCTAATTAACGGACAGATAATTCGTGAATTTCGGTCCGGTAATAATAATATTATTACACTAGATATTTGTGTTGTTCCGCTCGGCGGCTTTATTTACGGTTAGACTATTTTGACGAATTTCTGTGCTTCTGCATTTCATGAAAGCGAGAAACAATTAATTACGTGCGTTCGTTGCGCTTGAAAGAAAATTTCAGTGTGGGGGAAACAAGCGGTAATAGTTAATGATGTATAAAAAAAAATAATGATGTATCCGAAAGGTTCACATCCAATGGATGTACATTTTTCACACACGCTCGTACGTGTCAATAATTAATATTACGTGGCTGTGATTATATAACAATGGATAATATTCACGCAACATTGCACGCTAATTGACTTTACTGTTTCATTAATAGAGAGGTACTTATATTAGGTAAGAATGTACATTGGGTGGATTGTTTATGTTTTTTTAAAAACGAGTTGCACAATATTGCTTCGTCGTGAGGAAACATATCGTGCAACAACAATTAATGTTCATTGAATTTTGGACTTGGAAATTGATGAACTGACGTTCATATTTCCTTCGTTATTCAAACATACTTTGATTAAATGATGTATAGCACAAAGATGCCAAACGGGCGAGTATAAGTCGCCGCTTGTTGGCAATTAATTACGCTATTTGTCACAATTATCGCGATACACGCGAGACCGAATCTGAAACACGATAAATGATAATTATTATTCACGATCGCGTTATGACGCGCGACGTGAAACACACCGGTGAAACCTGCTTACATTATTTATATCGCGAGACATTCTCTCCGACATTACGCACTGTCGCATTTACACTTCAGCGTTTTCACAATTTTATTTTCGTTCGTTCCCAATGTCCCGCGTGCTTCGAAAATAGTTGAACCAGTTGCGTGCGCGCTTAGCTCGACAGGTGCAGGCCGACCATATGCGACCACCTTGCTCGCCCGGGCAAGGTTGCACCGAAATGGCTAAAAACGGTGGCGATGAAGTCATGCCGTACGATCAATCGACCTAGACTAAACGCGTTTCACGCGATACACCGTGGAATTCCGTAGTTTAATCGCGCTAAAACTTTGCCGGCCTGCCGTGAGCGTCGGTTATTTTAAGAGCGCCGAGGTAAAACTTTAACGTCTCATTTCTGTTTGTGACACCGACGCTAACACCTCGTCATTACCGTAACACGCGCCATTTAATATACTTGCTTAATCGGACACGACGCGGTCGGAAATTGCCGCGAGAATTTACATGCAATATGGAAATACGCTTCACCTTGCTTTTAAGCGATTTATATTTCACTGCCGTTTTTAGTGCCATTAAACGAAAATATGAAAATATGTGTAAATATTAAAAATTTTTAAATAATATGCGACGTGTGCTTTGCAGTAGAAACGCACACACGTAAAAATTAAAATCAAAACTCTATCCATTTTGCATACATATTTTTGGTACTGAAACTCCATACATTTTAAGCTAAAAAATCTTTGACAAAAATATTATACTATAAATTTGTTTTTTCCATCGCATACTTTTTAAATATTCTTGTCGCAAATTGATATCCCTTAAATATGCGCATTGCATCATCGTGAGGTGCATCGTCGCATACGTTACCGAATTCGCGAATGGGGTGACATAAAACCGGCACCGGTGCAACGGAACCACGGGGTAACACAGGTTGCGCTGCGTGGAAACGCGGTGGCGGCGCAACCGCCGTCGGTACAACGACCGGAAGCAGGTGGTTCCAGCCACGCACCGGCGGCTTCCCCGCCGCGTTCCGCAGCGCGATCCTCGCGAAGCACGTACGCCTCTTTGCGTGCCCGCGAGGAGAAACGACCGGCCGGCTATCTTCAAACCGCGATTTAATAGCACGTAAAGCCGTAAGAAACCGTGCGAGGGGGACGCGAGAAACGCGGGGCGCGATTAAAAATGCATCGCCGGCGTTTTCACGTGGGATTTAATCGGCGAGCGTTGTCGAGGAAGCCTGTTGCGGGATTAGATCTGATCTCCGACAGGTGAATCGGCATGGTATAAATTATACTTTACGTTATACTTTACGATCTGATAATCGACAGCTCAAAGTGTCCGTTTTTTGCGGTTATTAACCCGAAAGCTAGCGGCGTAGCTGTACTATTTGTAGTATTTGTAGTAAATATCACAGGTGGATGGATAGCAGCAATGAAAGCATCAGTAAAAGTGAAACTTTTTTTGATATCATCAACATTATCATTAAAATATTCTGATAGTTGTAAACTATACTTTTAGAAACCAAGGAAAAATGTATCTCATCGCAAAAGCATTAGCATCGTTAAATGAAAAAGATCGATAAACTCGTAAATTTTTGCCATTGAAACCATTTTTGGGCAAAAAATACCACGAGACAGTTTTAATTTTTAATGCTTTTCTCTAATTTCCATTTCGGAGCACATTATTACAGTCTGATTAAGTAATTATATTATCTAGGTCAAAAATTTAAAATTTAAAATGAAACAATTCAATTTGGTCCTTTCTTCCGTTCGAATTTCACTTCTTTTTTGGACACCTTCCTTCTTCGCATTTGCATAAAAATTGTATGTTGCTAATTAAGAGTTGATCGACGAAAGGAGATACTGGCTGTTTCCTCTTTGCAACATTTCCGTTGAGTCGGCGGTGTTTAGCCGGTCGCACGATAAATCGCGAAGCGAGAGTAAGAATCAGCCGCCGGGCTCGTCGTCGACACAAGAGAACTTCTCTTCTCGCGATAGAGTTCTCGTGCCGTGAGAAACGGACGCGATTGTCGTCGCGAGAAACACAATCGACCAGGCAACCGTGTAATTTCTCCGTCTTGATCTGCGAGAGAGAGAGTGAAATGTGTGCGAAGAGCAGGCTGCCGTTCTTGGATGAGAGTGCGACCGGTGCAAAATAAAAAGTTGCAATGTGTTCAATGGCCCCTTTTATTTCTCAATCATTCTGACTCAACTGTCGATAAACGATACCTTCGTTCAGCTCAGTGGTTTCCAAACTTCCTGCGCTTGCACTCACCTTCGAAGGAAATATTTCTTCCTCATTGCGACCGATGGCACTAATTTTGCGTTTCACTGTTGAAAATATTTCCTTTTAAATATTTAGACGTTTAATGAAGTAAAATTTTATTTTAATTACCACAATTAATATTTATATGCCAACTTGTTATTATTAATTGCATTTATGTTTTATAATCTATTTCAAACTCTTGCATTATGCGCTTTTGTTAAAAATTTATTAGACTTACACATTGCCATAAATATTCGCCGGATAATATTATTTATCATTAATGTAACAAAGTTTCTTTATTAATGCAAATGTAGAAACCACTGCACAAACCGCTACGGGACAGTTAGCTTTTGCAGATAATGTCTGTCTTTCGAGACGTGTAACAAGAATAACGGTGACCGCAGCACTTTTAAGAGGATATCTGAATTAAGAACCTGCGAAATAAAAAGTTTGACGGCGCGCGGTTTCTTCCCAATTAAAGGCAAGCGATTGCGCTCACCGCGAACCAGTTAAAGAAGTTATAAAACTCCAAATTTATAACGTATCGATCTTTACCGCGTACAAAAATCTCTTACAAATACTTACTAATTGCGATACGTTCTTACTAAGTGTGATAAAAAGAGGAAAAACTGCATAACAATCCGTTTTTTTCCTCAACAACGAGTTAATTACCGACAGCTTAATTAAATTTTAATCGATTTGATGTACAGCGTTTCCCTGAAAATTTCTTACCGGGGAGTAAGAGAAACGGTCTACATTAGTTCGTCGCGGCGCGAGCGCGAGATAAAACAAGAGAACATATCTTCCATAATTACCATAAAATGAAATATTACATCGCGGAGAAAACATTCAGCGTTTCATTCAGCGCGGAAATCTCCACGCGAATTTGCATCGCAGAAACTAACGGAAGAGACCGTGAGCACGGCGGAAAACGCCCGTTCGTTTGCACGTTCGTTAACCTTGCTTCCTTGTAGCTAATTATAACCGCCGGGATGCATACTTTCGATCGGCTAGATCGACAATTATCACGTTCGGTTGAAAGCTTTCGACACAATTGATTCACCACCGGAGCCGATTGCGAAACTACGAGTTTGTTTCGTTGGCGAGACAATTCGATTTCCGCGGCGATTCGCTCGCAGCCGAGACTTCGTGAAATTAACAAGTGTCTATAATAAGGCGATCGCATAATGAGATAATTAATGCGTTCCGGCGGCGTGGCGACTTCAAAAGAGACTCTCCCCCTCCCCCCACCCTCCCCCCTCGAAGACGCGGAAGACGTTTCGTTCTCTCCTCGCGCCGCTCGCTCGCGATATAGCAGGTCATTGGGCCATGGAGAATCCCAAGATGGTTGCGAGCGGATTCAGCGCGAGGAAATCCAATGTGCGTGAAATTATCGGATCTCTTTTATTTTCACCGCGGCCGTTAATTCGTCGCGCGACTCATCGTATCCTTCACGGCGGTCAGTGCGAAGGATTTTTACGCTTCTACGGTGCGATACTACGATTTTTCGCGAGGGACTCGCTCGAGCGAGTTTCACCGTTAATTTAGAGATCAATCGGTGTCACTGCTTCACAAAACAGCCGATGACTTTGAAAAATCGGACTACACTCGACACAAAATGTAGGTCGTGAAATCTTTAAAAATAGTTTCGCTAACTTCGCGGTTCGAAAACTTTTAACTAGGTTTTCGCTGCAAAAAGAAGAGAGAAACATCGCAAACGCCAAATTTCTGACGCGGTGCTTTGATGGAGGAGCGCAAGAACATTGTTATAATTAGAACATCGCTGCATCACTGTTATTGTTGTACAGCAACTTTGATAATTCGATATCAGCGCGGTAAGCTCGGGGGTTTGCAGTATTTCTCGCTTGAATCGATAAGCGGGGGTGTGCCTTACCAGTGTCCGTGACAAGCCGGCGATCGGAGGCCTTCGATGACCTGCAGGAACGCTCGAGGGTCGCCTCGAAGTCGCCCACGACGTCACTGAGATCTAGGACTGGCGAGGGATGCGGATCTCTCGGCCGCCTCGGCGGCGGATGATTCGATCTCGGCGGAATAGCCGCGCCGTTCGCGCTCGTACATTCTTGCGGTATTTTCGGCAATTCGGCCTCTATTCCCGCTAGTGCCGGACTCACCTAAAATCGAAAATAAAGGAGGCGATCTAACATGAGAGCGCTTGTCCGCCAAGTCTCGTATAAATTACGTCGGTGCGCTGCGCCGTGCTTTGTCGAGTGATTTATCTCGGATCTTCATGGTTTCGTCGCTCAGCGACGAGCGCACTTATCGTGCAAAGTTAGTAAACTTCTCAGCGAAAACAGAGTATAAACCAGATATAACCGCGAGGAAGTTGATATAATGTTTGCTAAATTTACCGCGTTTTTCATTACGAAGCTAAAAATCTAAATATGGTAAAAATGTCTTTTATAATCTTTGATTTCGACTCGCAGTGCGCCAGTCGTGATTATTATTTATATGATATCTTACTTTAGCTTCAAATGTCAAATCTATTTCAATTCAATCTTGCTATCTGCAATATTAAAATCTTCTATCGTATATTATAGAGAGGATTTTATCATAAAGAAGAAAAATGTTATTCCAGATATAATCTTCGTAATTGAGGTAGAAAATACTCGGGAAATTGCGTGCTGTTTAATATATAATATAACGGTTTTACTATTCATTAACGCCGCTCAATGGCGCCTTCATTACGCGCAATTAGAGGCACCGCTAATTAATTACCAGCCCCAGGAGAACCTCCATTGATTGACATTGTCTGCGTCGTTCTCGCTTCTTGCGTCTTTCCGTGCTGGATCTATCGCCGACGCTTCCGGCCGCGACGGCCTCGCAATAGCGCACGAAGTCCAGATCGATGTGATATCCGTACGGGCAACAAAGGCATTTCGAACCCGTCGAGCCGGAAACGTACGCCTGCGTGCCCACTGCAAAGAAAACCTTACTTCAGAAAAACTACGCTGTTAGATATTTGCCTTCGATAAAAGGAGTGTTTACTGTGACGTAATCGTCAAGGTTGCGTTGTCAAGATAACGCACACATAATTTCTGCGCGAGCTTTATTCGAAAAACACGATATTTCTTCCGTATTTGAAACCGAATCAACGACTTATCACGCTCGAATTATTTTTCAGCATCGACACGCTGAAAACACATGATCAATTGTGCCATTTTATTTAACAATTTGATTTTTTCTCGCTTGGAACTCGCATCGAATTAAGAATCAATTATCAATATTGTTTTAAATCTCGAACTGCAAACGGCAGGCGAAATAAATGAATTGTTCGAACATTCGACACCTTCAAACGACAATCCCACATCCGCATACTGCGATCGTGATTCAACAAAGAAATTTTCGGGCGAGCGGGCGAATCTATTGTTAGAGAAGCAAATCAATCGGGCGTTGTTTAACCTCGTCGAACCGTCGTTTGTTCGAGGTTAATGGCCGCGGCGCAATGTAAACCGAAATATGTTGTAACCATTGGCGGCCATCCAGAGAGAGGAGGCACGGTAATAATAATCTCGCGAAGTTCGTTAGCCGGGGTGAGCACGGGGATTCCACTTATGTGTCATACCGCCCGCTTGCGGTATCGCGACACACGTGGCAAGGGCTTAATGAACATCGTCTCGTCCGCCGCGCATGCATCGCGGATTCTGAATTATGTTCCACGTGTCAAGGTGCTCTCGTTCTTATTTGCGTACAGCTGGAACCGCGAGAGAGATATGTTTATCATAAGAGTGTCGCGAAGTATATAATATTATAATTTGTTTACATATCTATTCTCTCAAGTTATATAAGAAGTGTAATACGTAAGGGAAAAAGTAGCGTAATTTTTTAATTTCTACTTTATATTTTCATCTGTAATACTGTTTTTACTGGAGCGTAGTAGTACCGAGCTAATAGCTCGCTGCATTTCCGTTATGATTTCCGACTCGACGACGGCCAACGGTCTTCCATTGCAGACTCGTGCACTTTTATCAAAAGTGACTCACCGTTTCCATTGAAAACGCGGGTCGAGGGAACGACAGTCAGAGCCATGATCCCGGCTGATCGTCAGACGCGCTCGTAGATCCGCATTTCCGTAATCCTGCAAGTATAAATAAAAGCCGTAAATTAAAGGCGTAAATGTCACACGCTGGTAGATTCACGTGCCGCAACGCGTGGCGGGTGCGCAGAAACGCGCGAAGAGGAGGAAGAGGAGCGCGAAGGCGATAGATTTTTCGAGCGAAAGTCGAAAACAATTGCCTGCACGCCCTAATTGCAATCATTGCGCAACCGCACACGGCCGCCGAGATTTCTCGGAATTGCGTAATTTTATTAGCCGCCCGACACATCGCCCGCCCGGAGTCGCGCGGCACGCTTTGATCTAGTCGTGCGTTTCATCTCAGTTTCTCAAATTGCTTCAATCGAGCGAAAGCTCGACGGCTCCTCCTCCTCGCAACAAAATCTTCATTAATACAATTAGCCGTGAGATGTAGCAATCAGCATTTAATTACAGAGTCGCGCAACGCGAAATCGTTCTGCTTTACAATACAAAGTTGCAACAGCGAATCATAAGGAAATTAATTAGTCGGGAAGATCCTTTTTATTCCTCGCGCAGACTTTTTCAATACTTTCTATAGTCTTGTAGTTTCCGCAATTATATTGTTTAATTGGGCGATTATTGTGGCTCGACAGTCTCTTGCTGAATTATTCAAAGCTCTCGAACGATCCTACAAGATGTAAACCCGGCGGTTTACATTTTTCTGCTAATTGACAGCTTTTATTCGCGCAGCTCGAAAATTTGCGACGACACCGTCGCCGTGTATCACTCGCGCGTTTACGCGACGAAAGAATTATCGTACGCGGATGGTGCGAAGAGCACTTTTAGGCGCCGTCACACTTTAAACCGCAGAAAGGTATAAACCCCTCCCCCCCCCTCTCTTTAAATGCGGTTTTCACGGCGTGGCCGCGACGCGAGCTAATTCTGTATCCCGGATTTCTGGTCTGACGACAGTGAGTCCTCCCGCAGTTTCTTGTCTGCACCGTCTCGTCCGCGAACCTTTAATTGTTCGGGGCGCGAAAGGTGCTTGGCGAAATCCGGATATTTTTACAAACATTTCCGGCGAAAACCGCAAGGGGTTGTAACTTTTTTTTAAATACGACTTTCTCTCGGCTTCTCGGTAACGTCCGCACGCTATTCGTTGCTCGTTGAAACTTTGCGGCTTCGCGCGACACTTAAAAATAAATTAAGAGCTAATATCTTTTCCTACTTTTTCTGCCAATTGGCCAAATATTATTCGCATTCATTATCTTCCTCTCTATAATTGGAAGCGTTATCTTTCGAATGAACACAAGAAAAATAAAATATACGTGTGTACGTATTTGCTGATAAAATAAAAGTACTTATTTTTAGTACGAATCTCATAATCGAGCAATTTTTAAAGTTAAAATAGAACAAAAATTCGCTCCATTTTCTTTTCTTGGCGATGATATCATCTTGCATAAATTGATAATTAATTCAAAATCCAAGCAATTTTCACTCTGCTTAAATTATTAAAATTTTTTGCAAATTTTAGAACGCAGTTTTGAAAACTGCTTGTTTTTGTTTTCTCGAATTGAAGGCGTTATCTCATGTTACGATAAACCGCGATTACTTACTGATAAAAGAAATTGCTCGGTAATCTTTATCGGGCGTCACGTAGACCGTAGATTGTGCACTAATCAGACATTTCTTTCGACAAACCGGCTCGAGGCAGAAAGAGAGAGTTATTAAGCTTTCGTGCCAGCGAGAGATGATTCCTCGAGTCGGAGCCGAGCCCGGCGATGGGAGCGCGTCCCTCTTCACGACAGAAAACCGCCTCGGCGAGCTTGTAGGGACCACTTGAAGGCGACTCACGTACACCGTAGGGAGGCCCGGCGGCGATGTTGTCGTTGAATGGAAAGTAAAGTGTCGGCGCGTTCGGAAACCGTGGCCTAATTCCAGAAAAACAACAACGAACGCACGGCGCGCCGATAATCCGTGTGGAATTTCGCGCGGAAAAAGCGCGTGAAGTACGAAATGCAACTCGGGAGAGCGCGTTTGTCCGACAAAACTGAACTGGATCGATACGCAGTGTTTCTGTCACGCCGATAAGCCCGACCTGATAACGACTTATAATACGCCCATACGCTCGTGGCAGGAATTAGAGCGATACACAACGCACTACGCCTCCGCGGAAATTAATTATTCGTCGATTGTGCGCCAGGTGTCCGCGTAGATTTCCGCGTTTCCTTTCGCCTTAAGCATCCTTCGAAAAAATTATTATCTGTCATTTGAATAGACAAGAATTGTTTGGATTAAAATTGTTGAGGCAGATAAGAATAGATACACGGAGAAAATTTTATGTCAAAAATTATTACGGTAGCCGTGGATTATACAGAAATTATAAACATTTTTACTATGTTTTTCGCATAATAGTATAATATTTAAACTTATAATTTCTTTTATGGTCCGCGATTTCTGTACTGCGTATCATAGTAATTTTTGATAAAAAATCTTCTCCGCGTATAAAAAAAATTCTGAGCAATTTCTAAATTTGTTTACCATTCGAAAATTGCGTTGATAGATGCGTGTCAGTAGCGCAGCTATTTACACGCTAGATTTTCCAGAACATATATAGATGCGAATAGATGAAGCAGTCAGTGGATAGCAACGGGTACACGGCAGTGAATAATGATCGCGCTCCTCGTCCTTGCAAGGCTAATGCCCTTGCACAACCACTTTCATCCTCGATTATCTATTAATGTTGTCAGAAAATTATCTTACGACATCGCATCGTATAATGTACGCATAGATGTGGTAATAAGATATTGCTCGGCGCTTCTACACGTGTCTCGTTGTAATCAACGCACCGGCGCGGCAAAATGCGTGCGCACTAAGATAAAGTGACTTTCAATTTCGCCGCTGATGTTGTACAAACTGGATGTTATATGAGACATCGCGAACCGCGATAGTATCGAGAATTTCAATTATAATAATCAGCCTCCCCGATTATCCTCTCGTTAACTTCTTATAATTCGATGACGTAATAATGTACGAGATCACGCATATTATTACGCGACGGACTTTATCACATTTTAATAAACGTGATTATATATTTTACGAGGTTGACGTACACACACACGCGGAGTAATTTCAGATTTCCTCGGGGAATTAATCCGAAAATTGCGGTTTGCTTCAATTACAAAGAAACGGCCATATAAGTAGACGCAGCGACGAGAACGGGATTTAAGCCTGATTCATCCAGGTAGGCCTCATCACACCGCCATAAACGTCATCATCGTTACTTTCCGGCGAAAGTTAAACACCGCTTCGCGCTTCTATGTACAGTAAAGGCCGCACCATAAAAATCTCCTCCGTCACTTGTCACCTCCATAAGGCTGAAAAAGAACGCAGGAGAGCGGCCGGCCGCACACATCGCGCGCTGTTTACTTTCATTCGCACGGTATCTGCCAAAAGCAATCGAAGCGAACAATCGTTCGCGAAGTGAAACGCACAGGAGGGTTTTCGTTTCGCGTTTCGGTGCGCGTAAATACTCGCTAAGCTCGCGGTGCGATGAAGCAGAACAATCGCGCGCGGGAAAATCTCGCTAATCTCGCCGACAAAGGGAAAGAGTTGCTTGCACGGCGACGAAACATTTCTCTCGTGTCGCATCAGATAAAACTGCTACGTCGTCGTCGTTGTGCATACGCGGTGCGAGCGGGTAGAAACGGTGCGCGAGACGTGTCGCATTGTCGTCTCCTTGGCCTCTGGCCCGCGATTATGGACACAATGGCTCGTAAACAATAGAGAAATCGTGCAGGAAATTCGCGTTCGTATATATATTGCATGTACCCACTGTCTCCTCCTCTCGTTGCGCGATATTATGATGCATTCAGCCGCGTCGTGAATTATTACCGCGGCTACCGTCGCGCGCGACGGATGCAATCGTTTGCATCTGTCCGATGCAACGAGCTCCGATCCTTATAGACGCGTGTTGAACTTGGCGTGAACCTATAATTATAGATAGCTCTTGGAAGGCTCTGAGCAAAATATTTTCCGTGTAATCAAATATAATCATGCTGGGCAAAATTATACAGAGCATTTCTTGCTGAATTATAACTGACAAGTAATTTAATTAACAAATTAATCCGTCAAATTAGTTGCGTGATTATATTTTAATTAAAATGAATAATTCAGTGATAGATGTTATTGACAAAAATGACGAATTATATGCCAATTAGCGTTAATTTTCTAAATAAGAATTTAGTGAGAATATTAAAGACTTGACATTTTATTGAGGAAGATTTGAAAAAACATGTTAAAAATATTTCTCAAGAATTTTTCTCAAGAAATTCTACGAGAGGGCATATTCTCACGATCTTCTCGGAGTGTACAACTTTAGGAATCTTTTATGTGCGCTGAATAATTGATTATCGCCCGCCACCCTCGCATTAGGCACCGGCGCGAGAATGTAACGCGATACAGCGGGACGCATAATAATCATTAGTAACGCTGTAAAGAGTTAGAGAGACGCATTAATATCAATTTCCTGTTTTTTCCCCGGCTATCATTTTTTCTCAAAGTGTAATATTAACCGCCAGTACTTGGAGATAGTAACAAGATTTCTCGGCGTGTATAAATAGGACGAAACTAAGAAGAGAGCGCGCGTGTAGAATGGAAGATAAAAAATCATGTGCACTGAAAACGCAGGCACCGCGACTGCAGCGGAAGAGGGGAACGCGCGTATCTGCGCGTGTGGCCGGAAAATCTGATCTCGACGATCCGCAGGATCGCGCCTTGGAAATTATTTTGGAGATCGTCCTTCGGCGGCTCGTAAGTCACTCGCGTCTACGAGCTCGTAAAATTCCTTCGCCATCCGAGAATAAGATTGTATCGTGAAACAACACGCTGCAAAGCTTGTGCGTCATGCTTTATGACCGTCTATTTCACCTAATGCGGTTTTAGGACCCGATAAAGCGCTCGTAATAAAGCTCAATATATCACGCGTGCTTTTCGAACGCCCTTTAAGCGCGCGTTTGTCGGCTCTTCTGAGAAACGGCACTCTCTTCGCGTTTTGGGCCATTCGTCACTCTGAACGCGCAGAAAGGGCAATGACAGCCGCACGATAAATTTTTATGAATTGTCGAACGCGCGCGCGCAATCCTTTTTGAAGTAATTTATATTCATATCACTCTGCTGATTTTTTTTCTACAAAAAAATATATCTAGAAATGTATATATCTGTTTGTACATGTTTTAAAAATTAGTTTAAAAGCTGGTTATAAAATATTCGAAATAAAGGAATTAAATTGGCAATATCTGCATTCGCGATTGCGCGTGCTTTAATTAAAAATTTAATGTTTAATAGGGAATATAACTTTTATCGATTTCTTTGCGACCCGAGCGGCGACATCACGCGCAGCCATTAATTTTCCGCTTTCTAGTGAATGAGAATGACCGACGCGAATGTCATACCGCAAAGATCGAGATATTTCGCTCGTGTCCCGCGTTAAAGAGACAAAGTACACACTCGTAAGACCGTACGACTTGTGTGCTCTGGACACACACGCATACATATGCATATATGATCGCGCCCACACGCGACTCGACCGCACACTCGCCCATTAAGGCTTTTCTCAATGAACGTATGCGCACGCCGAAAATACCGCCGCACCGGATGACGACCAAAGCCATAACGTATTTTTGTCATCTTCTCGACCGCGAAGATGCGGTCTCTCTTTCATGGCTCTTTTGCGGTGGGACAACAGGAAGCAACGACGGCGCCGCGATGACAACGGGATCGTGTGAGAATTCGCGCGGAACCAAAGGCGAATGTTTAGAAAGCAAATAAGCGGGAATGGAAACGTTTCCCAAGAAATCGGAGAAAAGGAAACCGATATAAACCCGTGTCATAAATTTTTATAAGTACTTTATACCAACAACAAGTATTGTAGTATGATTATTCAAACAGAAAATAATTAACACGCGGAAAAAGCAAATTCATTTATATCAATCACTCTCTTTGAACGTTTAGCGTGACTTTGTGATATCGATTTCGCCGGGAATTAGTGATTAAACGGACAAAAGCTGCTCCGCCGCTGGCGTGAAAGCGGCGCTTTTGTGCGCACAGCTTTAAATCCCGACCGGTGTTAATTAAGTTCTTACGGCTCATTGTACCAGCCGGAGTTTCGTTTGTCGTGTAGTCGGAACAATGAACGAGACGCTCGCCTCAAGGATCTCCCGATACAGCGCGCGCCGATACGCCGTGGCGTGCGAATTAGTTGAGCGTGAAATTGATCCGCATTTCACGTCCGCCCCCGACAATAGGACATATAAATAGAAATTAAAATCAAATGTAGATCGCTATCGCCGGCGGAATTAGATCGAAACACACTCGGAACACCTACGAGACGTGCCTCTCTTTACCCGTGCATGCTTTTCCAATTGATTAAGCAACTGATTCAATTCTGAACGATAGAGCGTGTCGCATAGTAATCGAGGAACGGAAGGTGAATTCTTTGAAATTTTGTATCGATTTTTTCCGCGAAACTACCGAAAAAATCAGCTTTTTCGGGAATCAGATATCAAATACTTGTAAAATTATATTAAATTATAAAATATTTCAATACCAAAATTTTATATAAATAATTCAAGAGCTTTAAAAGCTTTCGAGTAAATATTTTCTGGAGTTCATTGATCTTTTCCTTTTGTATACGCGCGTTCGGTGTTTTCTTTCCATTCTGTAAAAAGCTTTCATCGGGTGTAACGAGAAATCCAATTAACTATTTCTGTTTGTACTCGGTGCGGAAATACTATCTCTACTTCAGAGAGATCACATATTTAACTGAAAAGTTTTACATTTAAGAGGCTAGCAATTCCTATGATAGAAGACAAGAAGGTTAGCAATATCAACTTTGATCTAGGCACAAATAGATAAAAATTATCAATCGTTTGTTTGCAGTAGATCTAAAGATACTACAAGTTATTCGAAGGACAATCATGCCTCTCTTTGCTGTCGCTGTATTTAATTTGCGATTATCACCGCCTATT